AGTCCAGGCTGCGAGGAGTCTGCTTGCTTGGAGGATCATGCGACGTAGTAAGTAGGGTTATAGGTACCTTATTTGCGGTTATAAGTAATTAAATATAGTTACCTTAATTGGGGTTCTAAGTGATTATAAGTATAGGTACCTTAATTGGGGTTATAAGTAATCAAAAGTATAGGTACCTTAATTGTAACCCTAGTTACTAAGTCCCATGATCCTTTAAGTGCTATGCTCAACTTTTCAGCTGGACATTCGGGCCGGGTTGGATAACGCTGGACTTGCTCCGACGTCGGTGGCCCTCGTATGCATCCACAAACAAGACGTAGCTTTAATCATTCATGAGTCTACGATTCAGGGACAGGCGGGGGACTTTGCCTTCCCAGACGTGCATCATGAAGTTCTGCCGTGGTACTTGTCAACATTGCAGGCGTTGTCCTGAATGTCTCCACGGAGCCCAGCAAGCAGGCTGCACCTGCACAGCAGGCCGCAGAGCCCTGGCCAAGTAGGGCTGTAAATTGCTGCTTCGGTATCCAGGAGATGGAAAGAGCACGACACGGTCCAAGCCCTTGACCCGTGATACTGTGATTCTTTGAGTCATGCAGGAGAGATTGGTTTGGCCTGTGCTGGCCTCAGCAACCTCTGCATTGACGTAGACATGCTAAGGCTGCTAAGGCTTCGCTTGAGGCCGTCACGTGAATCAGCAATACCAGAAGAGTTTCCAAAAGAGTTGCAGGGTTGAAATGGGGTACACGAAAAGCGTCACTACGTGAGTTGTATATGTGCTGTCCATGCAGGTATCGTACACGCTGCCCGCAGAGAAGGCACAAGCACTAAGCTTGGCTATATGTTAAGTTTAGTGGAGTCGTTCCGGTCGGTATACCACAACGACGCAGGAATCTGGAACTTGGTTTCACGAAGTGTGTCGGTTTTGCAACTGAATCAGTGGTGCCTGATGAGCAAGAGCGGCTTCAGTCTGGCAACATGGTTGACATCTCCAAGCAGCAAACATGATTGATGAGTTGGCTGTGCACAGCTTTCCATCTGCTTCTTCGCCTCTCTGTCTGTCCATCTGCCGGTTTAGAGTCTGTGCAAGTATGGTCTGTCCGTCTGTCAGAATTCATGCATGTCTGCACCCCCGATGGCCCTGCAAAGCTTTTTCCATATCTTGTGCCAGCGAACAGTTTTGCGTGCGAAGTACAACGCTTGACAACAAGATGCAGCCTGGATCTTGAGCATCACTAGAGTCACTAGAGTTTTGCAGAATGTCTACTCTGGAGATTAATGCAGATGAGAGACTCCCATCAAGAACATGTGGCGCCGGTTTTGGCTCCGGGTTACCTGTAGTGTGGAAGTCCCGCATGGAACACCCTACCACTGCCAGCTGGAGCCTCACTGCACGGCCCTTCTGGGGCGAGTGCTGTGGATTCAGAACATAAGTCAGGAACATTCGACAGGAGTTGTGGCTTGCGCACCGAACCTCGCCCAACGGGTTTTGTAAGTGCCGCGGTCTCCAGTATTTCAGGTCCAAGACAATGCTGTGCCTGGATAGCGACCTCCGGTAGCCGCATCTGCCCGACAATGATGAAGATGAACAGCCCCCAAATTTTCCAGCATAGTAGCTACGTCATGGCGGGTGCTTTGGGCTGTCTCGGGAAGCAGTAGTCTCGTGATCGTCGCCGTCGTAGTCGTGGCCGTAGTCGAACTATTGGTTACTGCAGGTACTACTATAGTTCTATAACTGCGTGACTATTACGGGCTATTTCGTTATTCTCCATATGGTCGTCTCGTCGTCGTAGCAGCAGCAGCAGCAGCAGCAGCAGCAGTAGCAGTATACTAATAGCACTAGCAGCAGCATGAGTGGGTGGCGGTGGCAGTGGCAGTGGCCGTAGCAACATATAGTAACAGCAGCACCGCTGCGAAGTCGCAACAGGCATACTGCTCATAGAGACAAACAACTCAGTATAGATCCCGCTGCTTCTCCGCCCTGAGGCGATTTTCCGGATGCCGCCGAGGTCGGTGATGAAGGGAGCAGAAGAGGGATCGTCGACGAGGCGATTAGGAACTGTAGGCTTCAGAGGAGAGTATGTTGTGAAGTGTTGTGAATGCTCCTCTGAGAAGTCATCGTTGCTAGAAGTCAGTCAGGGAGTCTCTTGCTGGTGTCGACGTCGAAATCTCTTTCACTGGCTGCGAGCTCCTTTAGAATCCGACGACTGCCTGGTCCTTTTTGCACTTGTTGATGCCCGTCGCAACTGATGCAGATCAGCATGCTGCGCAGAAATTTGCCCATTGCAAATGTTCTCGTGTTCGTGCTGCGACATCACTGCATCGCCCTGCCTGCAGTCTGCTCCGATCCTGGTGCGAGGCAGGGTGTGGATCCCTTCTCTGAGAATCTCAGAACTGCGGGTAAGTTCAGCTCAACAAGCATGTTGCCGACTGACGGTAGCAACGCCTTTCTGCTTCGGCCGTGAAACAGGGCGACACTCTTTGTGCGAGAGAGAGCCTTCCTGCGGATCTGACCAGGCCTGGGCGTTGAGAGCTTGACGGCTGAAAGATGGCCAGGACGATACCGTGCCAAGCTTACATTGAGCTTAGCAGCTTAGCAGCTTAGCAAAACTGATGGTAATGTAGATGCAGAGAACCAGAGCTTTCGGGGTGGGGGTCTCCAGCACTCTGAGTCTGAGGCTTCTGCGCAGTCGGTGCAGCTTTGGCACTGCTTTTCGTCGTCTCCGCCGGCATCCCGCAGCAGCCTGAGCTCAGGCTGGCATGAGGCATTTGGCCACTGCTACTGCTGCTCTCAACTCTGTGTGCTGTCTATGGTATGACGGGCGTGTCAGCTATGTTTTAGCTTGTTGCATTCCACCGTGCTGGACTTGTATAATACATGCCCATGTTGGCAGACCAGCCAAACAGCCGCCCTTGACCTACCCACATATCATGGGTCTGGGATTCTGACGTCGAGGATGGCGACCACCACAGGAAGTGTGCCGTTGGTGTTTCACCAGAATTCCATCCACCCAAACTCCTGGCCCGTTTCCGAGGTTCCACCGAGCGGCCGGAAGCTCAGAACGAATGCACATCTGGATGGTGGTTGCTCTGCACTGTGTCACCGATTTCGAGTTCTTAAATTTACAGGTAGACTCTTCCGTCAAACTGCATGTTTATTGGCCGGGCTCCACCGTACATTCAAGCATGCTTGCTGCATGCTGCATGCTGCATGCTGCATGCTGCATGCTGCATGCTGCATGCTTGCGTCCCTGCAGTCATCCATCCACTGAGGGATACCTCCGTGCATGCATCATCCACGCATCCCTCCATCGTCAGTCCACCCATGCATACACACGTAGGTACAGCTACATACGCACATTGACATACGTTACGTTGCATGACATGTACAGTACATGTACATTACATGTACACTACATGTACAATCACATGTACATTACAGTACGGTACAGTACACTGCATGTTACAGAACGCACACATTCATGCGTACATTTGTGCATATGTGCGTACATTAAGAGGGTTCATATTGACGCTTTGGTCAGAGTATACAGTATGCACACGACTTCCTCAGAACCGTTGGCAAGTCTGTTTTTGCGGTGTCCTTTTCAAGGTGCTAGCTGCAACACTTCAACTTCACATGCATGTCCTTTCGGGGGTATACTGAGTATGCAGCAACCACATGCTCTACAAAGAGCTCTCAAATGCTGGTCTTTGTCGTGTTTCGGCACATGTCTTGAAGGCGAAGGCACAGCCGAAATAGTACCGAAGGCATTCAGGTCTTGTCCGTCGGAAAAGGGGTATCAAGTTATGCAAACAGAACCCTTGCTGTCCCCTTGCCTCCCGCCCCGCTCCGCCCCGCTCCGCCCCGTTTTTTAAATTATCTCTCTCTCTCTCTCTTTCTTTCTCTCTCTCTCTCTCTTTTTCTTTATTCTCTTTCTTTCTCCTCTTGATTTCCTTCTTTCTTTCTTTCTTTCTCTCTTTCTTTCTTTCTTTCTTTCTGTCTTTCCTTTCTCTCTCTCACATATATACATGTACAGACATGTATACCTGTATATATATATATACACATACATATATGTATATATATATATATATATGTATATATACATATATCACATATTATGTACTTCTTCTTCGACCACTGTCGTAGGAAGTGTTATTTTCCTCCCCTCCTCTGCGTCGCACTTGTTTTCTACACATACCTGACTGGGGCCCTGAGAGCTCAGGGAGCGAGGGTTGACTCCGCCTCGGAACTGGTTGGCCTGTCCTCTGCGGAGTTCGTCTTTCTCCCTCAAAGGGAGGCCGGTTCAGGGTTCAGGGTCTGGGGTTTAGGGTTTAAGGTTGAGGGGGATCTAGAATGGTCATGGCCTACAGGATTTGGGGTATATGGTGTGCAGACGTGTGGGCTCTGAGTTCAGGCTTTGATGAAGAGGTGGTTCAGATCATTAGGGCAGATGTGAAGTCATCGCGAAGGATACACTTCCGAAGTCATGTCTTATCTCGAAGCTTGTTGCGCAATTTGTGTGCAGAGTTTTATCCGCTATTCCGCTCGTTCCTCTTTCCGTTCTTCGGCCAGTCCGACACTTCCAACCGAGACATTTACTTCTTCTGCGTGCGCGGGACCAAAGTGTGCCCTTCCCCTGACCCCGCATCACTACGGTTCAGCTCATGATATACTGCTTTAAGACAATGTAGTATATTATGTTAAAAAACATAATATACTATACATGTTGCATATTAACTTTTATAAAATGATACGGTATTATATATACTATATCAGATTTTATGATATTACATTACTTCATATATCAGAATGTTTAGCCGTTGTCTATATGTTGTTTGACAACAATACTATAGTCTACTATGTCATATTGTTTTGTACGACATTCTTCATGTGATGTTAGGGTTTGTCATGTTATGCTATGTTATGTGATATATTTTGTTTACTATATTATATTATACTATAGGTTATCATTTCATATCATAGTACGCCATACTATACTATGCTATACATTACGATACTATACTATATCATACGACATGTAGTATACTACACTGGATTAATCTTGTGTTGTTCTATATTCCGTTTGCCTCGTCGTCTCGGGGAGGAGACGGCTGCTGCGGAGCCTGATGCGCTCGTCAACGAGCTGCACCTTCCCACAGTGCAAGAGGCAGGTCGGTGGACAGTTAGGTGCTTAGCAACCTTGAGATTATTTGGGGATATGTGGAGCAGACTACAAACCCGGAAAAACTGGGTGTTCACAGCGCTTCGGTAGCATTTCGGATTGATCCGGGTGCCCAGCCTAAATTTCAGAGCCCAGCCGAAGCCCTGAAAACTGCAAAGGCCCGACTCAGCCCAACAGGAGCTCGCGAAGAAGTTTCATCCTGCCGTATGCGTGGGCCAAGCCCTCCAAGCTGCCATCACTCTCACTGGTCTCAGCATCAAGGCTGATGCCTTGCACCAAGCCTGTTCAAGATTTAGGAGTTTAGGGCTGTGGGGATTTTGGATTTAAGCTTCCATCGAGAGTACAGTTGCCTGCCTGTTGATGCTGTTCAGCTGGTGGAATCCCTTGCGTCAGGTAGGTGCTGCGATGCGAGAATGCAATGCTTGGTTTTACAGGCGCCGCCGGGTTTGCTGTAGCCTGCCGAGCACAACTGCAAGAGCCATTGCAGCACCCGTAGAAGCGGCGTGGGCCTTTGCTCACTTGCTTTCCTGGGCAGTCCGCGCTACGCCTACCGGGTGAACCCGATCACCGGCAAGAGCGAACAGGTCGTCGAAGGCTTTCACAAGTGGTGTTTGGCTGATCTGCTCTCGCGCTAGCCTCCGCTACTGTTCCGAGCGCAATCGGCACCATGCTTTAAAGGCAAGCCGGTGATTACGAACGCCCGCCGCCTGAAGGATAGGGACCTGCTTGCGCGTTTCAAGCGATGTCTGTGTAACCCCCAAAAGTCTGAACAAACCTTTGTTGTGCCTGCGAGGACAGAAGGCATCCACTACTGAGGATCGAGGCCCAGCAACGAGACAGACAAATTCGTGTGGCAGATTGCTGTGACGTTGACCTTACGTACATGGAAGAGCTCCTTGGAGGAGTCTCTCAGGAAGCCGCTGGCAAAGCTGCCTACGATGCCAGGCGAGATCCCTGACGGTGTAGGATGTGCCCTGCCAGCCGGGATTTTCATGGCCCATCCCAAGGTCTTGAGCGCATGCGATCCAACCTCTGGAACACATCGTTGTCGAAGGCAGGACCAAAGGGGTGCCGAGAGGCCGAGAGTCCTGGAGCTCGAGACAGCGAGCTTGGCTAATTGAGGCATGGGACGCCCATGGAGACGAGCTCGACGAGTTGAAGCGCTTGGGTGAAACTGCCTACAACGTCACGGAGTGGGACCTATCGTTGGCCAACATGAGCTTCAGCTTGGGCAGCGTGGCCACATGCACTCGATACGTCGTAGAACCCGCCGGAAGCTTTGATTTTCTTGTAATCATCCCAGGTGGTGAGTGGACCCTCGAAGGCTGGCATTACCTCTTAGGCCACGGGGGCGTGATCTGGGTGGCCTGGCGATTCAAAGCATGTTCTGGAGTGCACGATTAGTTTTTTTCTAGTCAGGTTGACCTATGACGGAGCTGCCAAGGACACCCGTGAAAGCCTTGGAAACTCGACGAGATCTGGAGTCGCAGTCTCTTGGATCGAACACGGCAGCCTGTGGTGAAAGCTTTACTGTAATCGCTGGACTGAGCACGGAGTCGTAAGATGTCGCAAGCATACGATTTCACGGAAAGAGCCCTGATTTGGAGCAGCCCCGGGTTACAGTCGCAGCGTTCAGGTGATGGTAGGCTAACTGGCCCCCTTCCTAGAAGGGGGCCAGGAAGCAGCCTCGTCTAGCCTCGCAGAGGATTGTACCAAGTCCTTTCGGAAGCTTCAGCAGCCGTCACTTGTTCCACTTTGGATTTGAGGTCATCAGATAACACAGCATACTGACTTGTGATACAACACGAAGACAAACACAGGTGAGTATGAGTATACGTAGAAAATGGTATAGTATGAATCTGAGGTCATCCTCTCTAACAACGGGTCCTTGGCCTTGATGATCCTTCCACGAGGAGGCAGCCTGGTGAGATGACCATCGCATGAGATGGTGTGTAGGGTCCACGGTGTTTGAGGGTTTGGGTTTTTTTAGGGTTTTAGGGCTTAGGTTGTGGAGTTTAGAGTTTAGGGTCTACCGGTCTGTTGGCTCGAGTGTTCTTAAGTGCTCCTGCTATCGCCAAATCGGCGTTGTTCGAATGAGCCGGTGAGTCGTTGTCTTGGGGTTGTCTTTTCAGTCATCTACCCTGTTCCATCTTATTGGCTTGTTTCTCTGCACATGTCCAGAGTCTCCAACTGTCGCAGCATGGGAACGCCAGGTGCGCCGGTTCTGCGCTCCTGTTCGAAGTTTGTGTCTGGGCGATTGGTTAATCAGACTAATAGTTGTGAGTTCACTACGCCACAGCGTGGTATAGCTCATGTCTGCATCGACCTGGTGATTAGTGTACGCTAACCCTCGCTGTGTGTGCGAAGTTTTGCTCTTGTAGAGATTTCAACATACCCAACTGGAGAGCGATCCTATCAAGACTTATGCGCAGATTCTACACTGCTGGGGGCACACAGTTTACAGGCCACAGATAAACTTTAAACTTGCCACATATCGGCGAGAGATTTTGATAAGTTCCGATGCGAGGTGCCGCTGAGGCAGTGGGTGCATGTTGCGTGCCAGCGTCGGGGGTCCTCGCTCGACTTTTTCTTGAAACTTGGCTTCGTTGCAGCAGTCAGTTCATTTCTTCTGCAAATTTGCAACAGCCTGCCGTGCGCTCCACCAGGAATGGCACCAAAGTCTGCAACATGCCCGCTCCTGCCGAGTTGGAAAGTTTAGAGCCGCAGACCACTGTGAAGATTGGTCGCCGCTCGTCCTGATTCGTGGAAATACAACCTTGGCTTCATCTTACGTTTCCATGTCATGGCATTGACCGCGGTAGTGGTGGCTGTGGAAGTCGTAGCGTGGACATCAATTGCTGCAGACGGAGCTGTATGTGGCATCATGTGGCATTTGGCACGTAGAGGGTGGTTTAGCGGTGTACTGTTCCGGGGCGGCACTGAGCGGGGAAGGCTGCAAAGAGAAAGTTACATGTGATGCTCATGGTGAGACAATGCTAGAAGGTGGCGGGGGTAAGTAGCTGAAATGCACTGATAGCTCATCAGTTTCGGCATCCACTACAGATATAGTTTCCCCGGTTCATTCAGAGGGCACTCCTACCGGCGGAGCCATGCACAAAATTCAGTGCCAGTGACAAGGGTTAGTTTGACACACTTTCGAACTGTGCAAGTCGTTTGCAGGTGCAGCAACAAACGAAGCAGACTCCAGTCTCGCTTCCCTGGTATCCAACATGCGACTCACCGGCGCGGCGCTTTACAAATCGAAGCTTAGCTTCATCGTTTCGCGAAGCATTCTGGGGAGCTTTTCCGGTGTGGGTCTGGACGGCTGTGTTTGACGTCTGTGGACTCGGGAACGGCTGTGCTAGGACGACATTCAGATGTCAGGAAATTCGGGAAAGCCGAGCCCTCCTCCAACGCTACTTCGGAGACCAATGTTGCCACACGGAAATGTGCAGAGCAGACCTAGACAGCTCCGACCGCCCGAAATTGGTGCTCGGGGACTGCAGGGCTTGAGGCTCAAAGCTCAAGGATGCCCTTTAGAACTTGTCGTCGAGGGTACATACACTGTAGAATTCGGAAGTTGCCGCCTCTGCCCTCACAACCTCCTATCCAGAGAATGTGGCAGATTCCTTGGCCCCAGGCCGGCAAGTATTCCAGAGCGCCATTTGCATCTGCACCCAAAGACGCACTTCCTGCTGCATGGAGGCGTGGTGTTTGCTGGAAGCCACGCATAATCAAGATCACTTCAGGTTGACCGCTGATGGAATGCTTTTCCGAAGTGACTTACTAACAGCATAGTCTCACGTGAGACGGAATTCTGGGGCGGTGTCCTGTGCCTAGGGGTGTGACCAACCCTTCGCATCCTGCCACAAAGAGTCAACAACGGCAATTGTTTGGTGATCAGAATAAGCGGAACATGTTGATGGCCACTTGTTACTAGCTGCTACCTTCAGTATCAGTATTCGTGTCAACAGCATTTCCATCTACCTGTTACCGTATCTTTCTACGTATGTACGCATGCGTGCATGCCGCCATTTAGGTATATGTGTATGTACGTATGTATGTTTGCATGCAGGGATGGACGGAAGGATGCATGGAAGGATAGATGGACACGAGATTCCGGAAGTTAAGATGATGGCTGGACCAGGACCAGGACCGGTACGAGCTTCCTGAGAACCCCCGGATCAAACTTGGAGTCCCTACTGCAACGAAACCCCAAGATCACCCAGAGACTCCCGCGTTCCTGAATGGTCTACCATCAACTGAAACCTCAATCTCCCTCAACCCCCCCAAAAACTAAACCCCAATCCTATCATCTACGGAGGGTTTCTGAATCAAGGGTTTTATGTGGGCTGTCTCTGCCATCCGCCCTATACCATAAACACCGCGAGCCCGAAACCGACCCGTCCACCCCGAAGCCAGAGGATCAGCAAGAACAACACCATCAGGCCCTTTACAATCACTACAGTATAATACAACACAGTATAGTATAATACAACAGACTAAATTACAGTATTACCATTATCATATTCATAATAAACCCGAAACCCTAAACCCTAAGCCCTAAACCCCAAACCCTAAGCCCTAAACCCCAAATGCGAACAGACTTCGATGCCTC